ACAAGAGAAATTATCGTTAAGAAATAACCATAAACATTAGTTTTATCCATAAGATAATAGTTATTTTGGAAGACACGCTATAACTTCTTCATTGCACTCATTTTCTAGTTCAATTTCGTAGAACAATGGATATTTTTCTAGGTATATGGAATGTATTCCTTTTACTTATTTTATTTAGAAGCATTAAATGGATACAATAGCCGAACACCTATTGAGAAAGACAGACTTAGTTTGTCCATTAGAACGAATATCCAGTGTTGTTATTTCAGCGCCTTACAAGACAGTACACTCTTCTAGACTACATTGATGGCCAGAAATGTCTGATACTATCTTCCGCCCAACTCTTAAATTCGACAAATAAAAGGTGATTGCTTTTTTTTTCATTGGCTATCACAGAAAAGCGATGAGACATTTCACTTTTACGCACACTTTGAATAGGCGTCCAAATCTGTTATTGAAGTAAAATGCTCGAATTTTTTTTATCGTTATTATTATTTTTATTTAATAAATGCGTGTTAAAATATGAATGCCAAACATTAAAAAATCTTTTTAAAAGTTATCGTTATTATTATTTTTTTTTTCCAACAAATATTAATAGACAGATTGCCGCTTTTTAAATGCATGTAAAACAATTATTTACGTATATATATCGTAGTCGTACATATATATATACTTTCTGACGTTTCCCTTTAATCTAAGTGCACAAAATACGAGGTGAAAATTTCTGATATATATATATATAATGTAGAGGCGTGCCCCGTCTACTTTCCCATTCGCGCCACCCGCTCCCGGCGCCCGCAACGCCGCGGTGCGACGCGCGGCAAGCGCCAGACGCCGCGCCGGGAAAAACGAGGACGAGAGTGGCCGACGGCTCGGATCGAAATCTACACAGACCGAGAAACCGGATGCCTCCCCGTCCCCCGGACCGGCAGTCCCCGCCCTCCGCGCCCCGGGCTCCCGCTCCCTCCTCTCGCTCCGGGCGCCCGGGCCGCGGCCTCCCCCGCCTCCTACCTCGTTTATGTATTTTTGGTTTTTTCGCGGAAAAAAATTCAAACATTTACTTTAAGGAGGAACCGACAGTTCCCGCCGGGAAACGGCGATTCCGTAGGATTAACGTTTACGTTTCGGATGCAATTGGTCACACTAACACAAGAAAGATATCTACCGCTAATAAATATACGAAGACGGAACTAAGAGAAGAGAAATCATTTCTGTGCCGCGGGCCCTTTTTTCTTTATTTATTTAATTTTAGATGCGTAGCTCGGTTAATTCCGCGGCCCGATAATTTCTAAGGTTCGACGGTCGATGGAACGGGCGTGCGCAAAATGCCGTTTCTACGCTAATAATGCCAACGCTCTTTCGTCTTGTTTGTGGCCGGAGAACGACCGACGCCACGCCGGTTTCCGACTTTTCCGGCGTCGGCCTCCCCTCGAATTAAGCCCCGCCCGCCTACGGATAATTAGCCCAAGTCGGCCGCTTCCCTCCTCCGTCCCACTCGCCCGGGCTTTTATTTTTGAAAGTTTTCTTGGCAATTTTTAATTTTTAAACTCGATCGGGTAAAGGTTGCCACCGAGCGTTTTTTTTTCAAATTATTCGGTACGCCGGCTCGATAAATAATGCTTTTATTAAGACCAACGCTCGGTTTTTATTTTTCGTTATCTTCTTCCCACTGGGGGAGAAATGTTACCTATATATATATATATATATATGTATATGCCCGTGTGTGTGTATGTCTGTGTGTGTGTGTGTATATATACATACACATATATATATATACTGTATATATATATTTCGAACGAGTACGATCTGTATATACGACGCATTGGATTGGGTGGTCGTTGCACCGAGCTAACACGTTCGTTTTCGCACACGTACGGAATAGATCTATAACAATCGGATAAAGGAATAAACCTATCGTCGATATAAAACTTAAGAAAAACGAGTTTATTATTAAAATTTCTTTTATCAAAACGATTCGATTCGTCGGAAGAGACTATCGAGTTATTAAATATCGAACTTCCTCCCAACAACGTCCTTTAATCTCGGAGGAATAAAAACTTTTCGTCGATAATAACCGATCTATAAATATTTGTTTTCGCAGCCAGTTGAATTTTCACCGAGCCACCGACGAACAGACATTCCAACGGTTCGGGCGGCGCCGAAAGTGGAGAGGGCGCCACCCGTAGGAATGACTCGATAAGATTCTATTTGCGTGGAGAATTTTTTGAGGCTGGGAATAAAAAATCCGACGTGGCTTCTCCGCAAAAGAGCCCGACGTTCGATCCCCAAACGCTAAAAACCCGCCGGGCAGCGATCTCGACTAATAATACACCGCAATAATAACGGGAGAGCGCGTGTCCAGCCTCGAAAAACTCGACGTGTCAACAACAGCCGATACCGATAAACAGCTGTAACAAAAATAACAAACAATAGAAAAATATCATTTTGCCATCGGTAAAAAATTCGAAGGGCTCTTTGGCACGGGGGATCGTAGAAAACAGTTCGTGTCGGAGGATCCTCCGTAGAAACCAGTCCTGAGTGGGAGGGATCCGCCCGGGCCAAACAGCCGACGGTGGTAAAATATTTCTTCTTTCTCGAAAATTGGCCGCGAAGTCGGTCGTCCCGGGGCCGGGCCGGGCCCCTCCGGCTCTAGGGCAGGCGCTCCTCCCGCGACGCCGCCGAAGGGCGCTCCCGCTCGGCCGGACTCGACTTCTCCGCTCCGACGCCACCATCTTTGGCACTGGCAAACCCGTCGGCCTCGGACGCGCTTCCGCTCTCTGCGCCGTCACCCACGCCGTCCGAGGGCACCGACGCACCTCCCGGCACCGGGGAGCTGAAACGACACAAAACCACATCCGTTAGTTTCCCGTCGGCGCCGCGCAGCGCAGCGTAACGCCGCAACAGCAAAACCCCTCGACCCGCCGTCTCTTTACCTCTCCTCTAACGTTATGTTTTACAATTTCTCTCCTTTAAATATTTAAACGGCAGCAATTTTCGGACTGCCGACCCGTACGTTCCTTAATCTCCGGAACTGGAGTTAGCCGACCGGATAGGTAAAGCTTGGCAGCCGGAGGTCCGACGGAAGTCGACATATAGGCAGTCGGGCCTCCGGCTGCCTATATGTCGACTTCCGTCGGAAATTTCCTTTCCTGCGAAACGAGGGACGACGGGCATCGCTCCGCGGTTAGGGATATCCCGTAACCATGGAGCGATGCGAAAAAATTCGGAGCCGGAGATTCCGACGGGGAAAATTCAGTTCGAACCCGAGTCGCCTATTTTGTTTTTTTAAATAGAAACACGATTAAAAATTGCGTGGCCGTAAACGACTGCCGCTGTTTTCCGAAGGGAATAAAAATAAGTTAATTCTTCCGGCCGCATTAACTAAGGCAATCTAATTTTCGAAGGAGAACGTTACCTTTAATATTTTCTTTAGATTTCCATAAATAAGAAGTTAACTATAAATTATTAAATTGTTTATTAAAAATTAGTTTAAATTGCTTGCAATTATATAAATATACGGTAACGAGTAATTTTAGCATTATAATATATCTTTTAATATTTAGACACTTAAACTATCTGGCAATTAATTCTCCGGCCGATCATTTTAAAATCGCGTAATAAAATAAAACTTTAAAATGTTTTATCCTACACTATTTCCACGGTAATAGCACATTTCTTTTCCTACGCAAAACCAATTTAAACGTTTTAAATAAATGAATAAAAATCAGCCGAGATTATTATAATTTCTAATATTCGTCTTCCTTTTCTCCCACAAATCTCTTAAAATTCTTAGTAGTATTAAGTAATTAAAATAAATAAATAACTATTAACCTGTCCGAATTACATCCGGTCTTGATAAACCCATCAATATCCGCATTACTGTCCTGAAGTTTATCCTTTGTTAATTTGTTCTTCTTGTTCTGTTTCTTCTTTGTCAACTATAAGAAATAACAGCTATGACAAAATCCGTAATCCTATTCCCAAACAAACAATAGCCGTAAATATTATTCCGGCAACTTCGAAACAACATTCGCATTCTATCGAGATCAGAAGCTTTGAAAATAGTTATCTCCCAACCAAACACTTACGTAGATAGAATTTCATAAATAACAAAATCAATTCATTAAATAAGTACACATTATAAACAAACAAACAAATAAATAAATAACAACATAAAAGCACTTAAAATAAATAAATATAAAATTACACAAAAATATGGGAATCGTGCAAAATATATAATCTTAATTAGTGGTTATCTATCAATAGTATTGATTGTCATGCTGAGGAAATCGATATGGATTCTTTGTTATTGGTGTAGTTTCCACAAATATTTCAAATGCATCATGAGCCCTTAACTTATGGCTATTGAATTCACATTTTAAAATCTTGGCCTCAGACCATCAAGGAGATACTCCCGGTTCAGTTTGCATAAGTACTTTTTAATCACTTTTGTAATCCTTTTACGTAAATGTACACTACAGTTATGCACTATCTATTTTATATGTTACTAGCTGATGAGCCCGGCGTTACTCAGACAAAAAATAACAACAGCAACGATTAATAATAGAGAGGTTGCGGCCGACGTTTTCATCGAGAAAACGTGTACGTCGGACGTCAGCGCCGCCTTCTTGTAAGCCTAGAAGTTGTAAGTCTAGAAGTAGAACACAATGGTGTTTAGAACGTCGAGCATGATTCCACTGACGTTTCAAACGCCATTGTCAAACTTCTAGGCTTACAAGAAGGCGGCGTTGACGTCCCACGTACTGTACACGTTTTCTCGATGAAAACGTCGGCCGCAACCTCTCTATTATTAGATTATTTCGTACTTCTAACTCTTCTACTATATTATATTATAGTACAGTATTTGATTAATTAACCCTTTCCCTCCCCTCATGGGGGAATTTCGAAAAATCCCTTCTTACTGTACAATACGTTCTCATGACGTACCCTGTGTATCAAATTTTAACTTTCAACTCCTAACCGTTTGAGCGCTGCGCTTATTATCAACCCATCTAAATTATATTATAAGATTTGTTTTTTGTTTGTTTTGTAATGTGTACTTACTTAATCAATTGATTTTGTTACTTATGAAATTATATCTACGCACGTGTATGGTTGGGAGATCTTTTTTCAAAAATTCTGACGTCAATAGAACGGGAATGTTGTTCCAAACTTTTATTTCATTACAGACGTTTTATTTGGTTAATATTTAAACCTGATTCAGGCCTCTAAATGTGGCGGAAGATTCTTGCTTATTAAAGTTTCGCTGCTGCAAAAAATGTAGATAATGTGATTTATTATACTTTATTCTTCATTAAACAATTTTAGGTCTGTTATAACATTACCATCATTTTATTTATACAGTACACTCTTAATTACCTATGCATGTTTATGTCTCAATAAAAATTCACATCTGTAATATAAATATTAGCATTAAAATAAAAATCTGCATTGTTAACTCTTGTTATTTAAATGTTGGTTGATCATTTAACCTAATTTTACTGGTCACAGATGACACACTCCTCCATCTGGCATCCCAGGTATAATTTAGCCAATAATTATAGTATAGGGGTTCAAATAATAAGTAATATAAAAAGAGAAATTAATGCTGTACTCTAGAGATTGTAATGATGTAAATGATTGCTCAAACTGGAAGAGTATGAAATCATCATCATACAAGAACCCGGATATAGCTTTCTTCATTGGTTTCATCAATTACAGGAATTAAAAAGGCAAGGTCAATGCTTCATCTGGATGGTTAACTAGGTTTAAACAGCAGTATGCTATCAGACAGTTAATTGTGGAAGAAAAATGTCCCAGTGCACACATGGAAACATTTGACTTTGTTTTTTTTTGCACCAATTTTCAAAAATATGTGCAGCAACAAAACCTGGTTCACAAACAAATTTATAATGCAGACTAATCATGTTTGATGTGGAAGTGTCTATCAAAGAAGACAATCATATCTGAAAAAGAAAAGTCTGTTCCTGGGAATAAATCCTCAAATCAGTGGATGCTATGAAAATGCTTTGAAAAACCATAAATTGAAAAATTATTCTAATTGGAAAATTTAAGAAACGTCATTCCTTTAAAAAGTACTGAACTACTACTACTAAAACTGAAGACTTGCCTATTGACATTTTACTAAAATATATGAAATAACAAGGATTGAATACTGTGACATTACTGCTGCACAGTAAATACAGTACATACTGCAATAAATAAACAAAATACCAGAGACAAACAAATATTACAGACTACTTCCAGGACGTCAAAGCAAAAATTAAATGGCTTAACAAGTACAGTTGATCCTTGAACAATACATTACTTGTATGTATATTGTATTTATTATTTTGCATTACGTAAGTTGTAAAATTGTTAAGAAAATATTTTGAATCAATTCCTTGTCAGTAAATCATTACTATTACAAAATTAACGGCATTTTACAATGCTATCTAGCTGGCAACCAGTCATTCTCAGTTAATAATACAAGAAATTGATTATGAACTGCAGGGTACTCGTTCAATAAATTCTTCTCAATTTTCTGTTTACATCAAAAGTTTTATTCAACTCTGATCATATCTAAAGCTTATTAATTAATTAATTAATGTACTCAAAACATATTTTATTCATAATATTTAAACTATTATAATAAATTTAATATGAAATTAAAAACTAAAACGAAAAATCGATTTGATTTCAATAAAACAAACTTGCAAATTATCCGTGCCTCCATTATTGATGATTAACCCAGATAATTGGGAATCTACTGTACAGTATGTTGTTTCTACAAAGTGGTAGTGAGTGTGCATTTGGTATATTTTTGTTATTACTATTGTATTGTTTGTTATTTTCTCTGTATTCTTTGTATTTTTACTTTGATTTAATAAATCTGATAAAAATGCCCCGAGCATCCCCCTTCCACCTGTCCTATTTTCTGTATTTTCACCTTTACCTTCACATTCTGCCTTCTTTCCTTTATTTTCAAGCCAGGCAATACTGTTGAGTGCATCTGGTCTTCCGCCCCTGTCAGCTACAAGTGTCAATCACACAAGTGCAGGACTTTTGTCCCTCAGTTGTAGTATAATCACATAAAATATTAAATTTAATTCTTAAGTATTAATATTTAAAAATATTTTTACTATTGTGTTCAATGATTATAGCAATGAATAAATGAAAACTTAAATAATTATTACTTGTGTAAACATTGGACCTGGTCTCCGAATTCTTGTCAAAGGAGGACGACGTGGAATATAACCATGTCCTAAACCACTGGGCTGACCAGCTCCAAACCTATAATTGAAAAAATTTTACTTTAGAAAGTTTTAACCTTCAATTTTTTCTCATTGTTCCATAACAACACAAATGACAATTTCATTAACAATCTAGTTAATAATTAAATCAAAATTTAATATTATGTTAAAATTATAAACAAAAACAAATTTTCAATAAAATAATTCAAATACTTTATTTTTAATATCAACTTTGATAGACTATTCCTGTAAAATTGATATTTAAAACAAATAAGAAAGCCATTTTGAAAATAATTATCATTTTTTAAGGAAAGTGATATCCTATTTCAAAACATTCAACTGTTGTTAAGAAGAAAACATTTCTCAAATGATTTTACAATACAATCTCAAAAATTTGGCTGTTCGCTATTTGATGGGTACAGTAATCCAATATTATTTGACTCTCAGATATTACTAACACTGTTGCCAAGTCAAAAACAAGCTTTCGTCTAGTTCAAACACTAGTTCCCTCTAAATTTGAATACAAGCTTGAACATGATATTAAAGACTGTTAGGCTCATCATCACAGGCCATTCAAATTGATTACTCACCTTTCATATTTTCTTGCTATTCTTGTATATGATTTTGACTAATATAATGTACTAATATCATGTAAATCAGGTGTGGCCAAACTTTTATCCCTTAAGGGATATTTTTTTGGATAAAATATAGTCTGCGGGCAACTATGAATAAAGGCAAACAATTTTAGGATTTTTATATGCACATGCGTTAACATTCATTTGCATTGTTCATCGAAATAAATACAAACAGTATGGGTACGTTGCACACACACTTGAGAATTGTTTATTGGCCGCAATCTTTGGTATAGCCCAAGAAACATGAATAGGAAAGAAGAATAAAAGTTTTAGGAAGGGTTCAGGTTGAAGGTGAAATAAAGAGAGATAGGACAGAATGAGAGTTAAGACGTTGCACAGACATTATTTAAAGGTTTAGAGAGCTGTCTGACTTAAACGTGACATTTTTGCCATAAGTGAAGAGGAAGGTAGAGTTAAGAAAAGGAATAAGAGGGGAAGAGAAAATAAAGGAGGAAAGGAAAGTGTGAAAGAAGAAAAACCAGAGGCCGCCATCGGGCACCATAGGCATCCGTGTCTCTTTTATTGAAAAATAGGTACAAAATTACAACAAAAACAAGAATTTACATTGTAGTGGCGATGACTTTTCGGACAAAGGATAGTATACAATTTATTGTTATTTAAAATCAGAAGGTCATGTTGAGTTTCCATTGTCCTGACGTCTGGAAAACTTATTGATGGGATGAGCGCTTTAGTGTCATTTATAAACTTGGTCATAGCTTTCAAGAGTTTATTATTGTCTATTAATTGGTAATCTTGTGGTGGCCAGTTAAAACTCTCATGTAGGCATTTGCCTATGAAGGAATTCCATAGAACATTGCACAGACAGTCTATTATTGTAAGAATATATTATCAAATTAAGATTTTTAAACATTAATTTAAGTGAAAGCAAATTGTTCAACTTTAGCTTTGCGGGCTACTTTCAAAACCTTGACATGTACATCGGTCGACCGCGGTCTACATGTTGGCTATCCCTGTTGTAAATAAACTAGAGATGGACAAATATTACCTTTCTGAAATTTGAATATTAACCAGATCTTGAAAACTCTAAGTACTTATAAGTTATTGAACTTAATTTTCTTAAATAAATAAAATTATTAAGTAAATAAGTTATACAACATTTATTATTTAACTCATTTTATTTATTTCAATACATTGATAAAATAATAAACTAAAACAAAAAGAAAAAAAAAACAATTTAGTAAATTTTATGAAATGAAACCTCAAACTTTTAATTTTGACTTTCAGTTTTAAAGTAGCCTTTTTTTTAGATACACTCGTCTCAGCTAACAATAGATTAACAAATAATTACTCTCATTCTCAACCATTTTTATTTAAAAAATGAGAATTTGAAATAGTTCAGGAGCTATCTTGTTTCTTTTCTTATCATAAATAAAACAAGAGATGCAGAAGAGAGAGACTGTATTAAGTGCTAGATACTAGGAAATACAGTACCATTAATACAAAAAATTAATGTTTATTTGTTCATACTTCAAAATGTTATTTTAAAAACATTTACAACGGCAATTTTGGTTTATCCTTACATTCTGCAATATGATCATTGTGTAAATAAAAGGTACTGTACAACATAAAGTAACTGCTTTGGTAGATACTAACTCTCTCACAATCTTTTTACAGCAAAAAAAAATGCCTTTAACAACTACCATTTTTGATCATTTTAAAAACCATCCTCAGGCTACAAACTTTAAATTGAACAATTTAAAATACAATAAAAATAATACAGAACAGAAAACATAACACTACACGAAAACATTTTTAAAAATGAAATATAATATAATAAAATACAAGATAAAAATAAAATAAATAAATTATATAAATACATAATTTATATATAAGGCAATTGATTACTGAATTATATTGGGCTAAATGACTACTACTATTATTAATTAAATACTAAAGGAATTTAATAATTAAATAAATATTTTAATAATTAATTTAGGAAGCAATAGGGAACCACCATGCATTTGTATCTCCCCAAAATTTGATGGACAGAAGATTCATAAATAATCTGTTCAGCAGAGGAATGGATAGGACCCCTGTGCAGTTGGCTACCTGGGAGAGGTCCAGCAGACCTGTACTGGAATTACAGAAAGTACACAGATCAAATCAGAGAAATGCTTCAAACAACACTACATGATCAAAGTCATTAGCCACTCAGCAGTGAAGGACAGATATATCAGTTAAATTCTTTTGGGGGTATCGCCAAAAACTACCACAAAAAAATTTCACCTAAAACATGAATTATGTAACAATAAAAAAAGACTTTTTTTTACTAGACATAACTGTTTACAAAATCTTTTTTTGAAACAGTAAAGAGAAATAACGCGTGAAAAAATACTTTAAAAATTTTCCACGTTTATTCTCCACTACTGAGGGTAGAACCATACCCGACTAGTCCACTGTTGAAAGGTTAAGAACTCTTGAAGTAGATACAAAAATTCCACACAGCTTTCAAAATCTTAAGAAATGAATTAACATAGGTACCTGGAATGTTAGATCTTTATACCAAATGGGAAAGATGGGAAATGTAATGCATGAAATGAAAAGACCGAAGATGTCAATCTTAGCAATCTCTGAAACAAGATGAGCTGGAGAAGGAGATATTACCACTAACAAAGAAATAAGACTCATCTATTCAGAAGAACAAAACATAAAACAGGAGATGGGGTAATGCTGGAAAAGAAGATGGCTAAATTGGTTGACAAGTATTGCCAAGTATTTGATAGCACCATAGCACTGAGGATAGATGCTAAACCAAGGGGCCTTTTCTTAATCCAGACATACATACCAACAAATGATCATTCTGATGATAAGACAGAGGAAGTTTATAAACAAATACCTACAGCTTAAAAAGAAGAGAGATGTAGTGATTATTATGGGGATATAAATGCAAAGATTGGAAGAGGGCGAGAGATAATGTAATTGGACAATGGGGCTTAGGAGAAATGAACGAAAGAGGGACTTGTTGCATTTT